TGTATGTCCCCCCCCCCCCAGATTGAGTCCCCTCCTTATACATGGGGTCTATCGTAAAGGTGAAGCTGGTGTAGGTCGGACACATCTACGGTCGGTGCAGCCCTTTCCGTGATAAGGTTGACCAAAAATCAGAGAGAATAAACTAAATAAAAAAACAGTGTGAACACATTATGACCCATAATAAACTGAATTAATTTGATCTCTTCCATTTGTTCAGAGGATCCAAGCTGTTGAACTGACCACAGAGTTAAATTACAGATTAATATTACAGTAATATATTCAAAGTACCCATCAAGTTTCAAAAAGGACAATAAAAGACCAAACAGCAGTTGAATGATTGCACGTTTATGAAAAAGCATTTAAAAAGTACACAAAGGCAGGTTACTGGTTTACATACATTATGACAGCGATATAGTTTAAGTACTTGGCTAAATTAAAGTGAATTACATTTTTTTTTTCACTTTTTGTTCTCTTTTATTCAAACAAAGAATAGAAATCGGGCAGCTTTCAGGAACATGTATCTGAATCACATATTTGGCTCCAAGTTTTTCATAGTGGCTACAGTCATCACACGTCTGCGTCCAAAGTCCTCCAACAGAGACAACGCTTGTCCTCAGCCAGCTCCATGCTGCAGGGGGAGCAGCGACGCTAATCTGGCTTTAGGCGTTTACTCGACATGGCTTCCTGTTTCCATATTTTGAGTGTTGCAGCTAAGTCTGAACATACATGACAGAACTGTGAGGAAAACTTAAATACTGAGTGGCTTCCTGCAGTGCGACAGGAATCCAGTAAAGCTGCCGTGTTACCTCTGATCCTGCTCAGGTTCATGAAACCACCCATGTTGTTTTTGTAGTGTGATGATTTAATTTCAAAAAGCAGAAAAGACAAACAGGAAGCATAGCAGCGAGAAAAAGGAGGATCTGAAAGTGTCCTATCTTTACCTAACGTTTCCGCTTTCAGCCTCCTGCTGAACGTGTGTTTGTACGAAAACTAAAACTACTGTATGTTTTCCCTTCAATTTGCCTCGAATTTATGGGTTCAATTTTCTGAAAACATGGTGTCACATAAAGGCACGGGAAGCAGGAGAAGAACCGTTTTCAGTCGAATCACCGGTGAACAGGTCTAAAAACGCCTCATTGTCCCCCTGACACRTCGACAGAAATAATCAGGTTTAACTTGACAGCTGGTGAAGAGTGTGTCCAACAAGTGGATGTGTGCGTCACAGACGAATCAACAAACGCCACAGTGCGACCGTGACGTTAGACAAGCAGATTTGTGTGCGTGTGTGTGTTTGGTTGCAAACTAAAGCGCTACAAACTAAAAACTGGTCAAGCTAAAGAAAAATTCTGCTCTTCCTCTACGAACTTCCATGATGCAAAGATATTAGAAAAACTGACATCCACAACCGTCTTTATACCAATGACACCCATCTTTACCTGGTAAAGCTGACTGAAATGAAGGGATTGCCTTAGAAAAACTACATCCTTTTAAATTCAGCTATCACGGGTCTTAAAGTGGCAATATTATGTCTTTCTCAGGCATACATTTAAATACTATACCATAATAAAGTATCATTAGCTGCGTTTCCATTGCAAATGTGCGCAAAACTTTGTCGATATTCTGTTAATGTCGAAAAAACAGTTTCGCAACTGCAGTGTTTCCATTAAGTAAGAAAAGCTTTTAAAGTCACGCGTGAATACGTTTGTTCTC